AAGCCAAGTTTGGCTGAAGGGAACAGAGATAAGTTCAAAAAGCAATGACTGGATCATGTGAGCCCTCCAGGCAAGACTAGCTACCTACCTGTACTCTTTATCAGGCAGGTAACTGAGCAGACTGATTGTGGACGTTATTTTGTGCATGTGCTCTTTCAGTTAGTTCACTCAACATCCACCCAACTCACGCCCTCACCCCCACCTTTTTACTTTGTAAAGCCTGGAAAACAAACTCAGATTCTTAGCCTCCACTGCTAGAGCTGGCCAATAAAACACAGGCTAGAATTTCGGAGGAAGGCTTACTCGTTGAATAGAAAGGTGAGGCCTCTGAAAGACTTCAGGCTTTTGCTCCTTTCCTTCTTTCTGCCTGGAATGCAGATACGATGTCTTGGGAGAAAGCAGCCATTTTGTGGTTGGTGTGTGGTCAGAGGCACACACTAAGAACAGCAGGGTAAGAGAAGGGACTTGGTTCCTTGCAGACAGCCTCATTTAATCATCATTTGACTCTTCACTACCCCCAACCTCATCACTAGCCATTCCTCTCACCCTGAGATCTACAATCCAAGCACTGACCAAATATCTTCTGCACATCATATTTCCCCTATGTCAGAATTTCTCAGTCCTCCCTTTTAAAAATTACTGATTGCATCTGTTAAAGTGTTACTGACGAATGCTTAAACTTTAAAACAGGATCAGCAGCGTTGTGGGGTAGAATGTTCACATAGCAAAAGAGTCAGGAGACCTGAGTTTGATTCTGGCTCTGCCATTGACCAGTTCTATGACCTTGAGCAGGTCAAATCAGTTCCCTCATCTGTAAAATGGGGGTATTGGACATGATCTGATTTTCCAACTCTTTTTTTTTCAGTGACTCTCTGAGGCCAACTGTGAAATCTTCCCAAGGGACATGGAGAAAACACAGATAATAGTGCAGACCCCAAGAAAAGTTTACAAGAGAGGAAGCAAGAAGCAGCCCCAAGTAGTAAGGACCCACCCAGTGCCATAGCAGTGTGTGCAGGGAGGGCCAGCGCGGAGGGTGGGTGGTAGTGAGGGGATGCTGCTGTATCAGCATCAGAGGCTGACTTCTCTGGGTACTGAAAAAACCTGAAGATGGGTTAAAGTCCGATGTCTGTCTGTCACCAGTTATCACTTCAGTGGTTTTTGCTAAATGTTTTTCATATGCAAAGCTAGGTATTTAGAGTAATCATTCTTGGAGAATGATGGGAATATTCTCAAGTGGTAGGAGTATTTGTACAGAGGTGCTGTCGTCAGGTTCTTAAAGGAGTGCATTGAACCGTTCCTTCTAGACATTACTGCACAAGGCCATGTGCTACAGTGTAAGCCATTAAATATACATGTCTTTAGATTAAACCACAGGTTCCATTATGGGTCGACTTGATGGGAAGGTCATCGTCCTGACAGCAGCTGCTCAGGGGATTGGCCGGGCAGCTACCTTAGTAAGTTATTATCTTTTGTTGTTTGCTTACTAACTTTTGAGGTATTTGAATTATGTGGCTGGGTTCCACGGGTATTTAATTCTGCTCTTTTTTTTTTTTTTCTTTAGTTCTTCTGTTGTCTTAAGTTACAAAAAAAAAGTGGCTACTCCTAACTCCAGGCAGATAAAGGAATGAATACCTCACATGTTTATTATGTGACATCACTGATAAGCTTTGACCTGAGAAACTTCTCTCTCTGCCTCAGTTCCTCTGCGCCGTAATAAATTTACTGCAGGGACCCTGCAGAAGTGCATGGCTTTCTGAAATTATGTCAGTCCAGATATAGGACTCCAGAGTTATGAGACTATCAAGTTACCTTTGCCTTCTAATTTATATCAACTTCTCACACATGAAACCCCCCACCAGAGCTAATAATGCACTGTTATTAGGAGGAAAAGTGTTGATATAACCCATTTTTCTCTTACTATTTGGAGTTTACTCACATGCTCAGAAATAGAATGCATGCTATCAAATCAAAAAATAATAGTATTTTGAGAGGTGCTTAATAACAGAATCCTTTTTAAAAAAAAAGAAGTTTTATTTGGTATTAAAGGAACAAAGTCAGCTGACAAGCACAATGTATGTCACGTTGTTCTAATTAATGATAAAAATAGTAACAATTGAGACTAGATAGTTTGAAATTCCACCCATTTTATAGGGAAAACCACAGTGAAAATAAGATAAAAGAGAAAGGCTAAATGACTTGCAGTTCATGAGAGCAGTTTAACCATATAAACAAAGGATGTATTTGTGCATTGTGTCTACCAGGCTTTTGCAAGAGAAGGTGCCAAAGTCATAGCCACAGATATCAATGAGTTCAAACTTCAGGAGCTGGAAAAGTACCCGGGTAAGCAACTTGAATCTGGGATTCAGTCTACAAGGGATTATAAAGCATTAGTACTTACATGTTGAAAGAAAATTCCTTAGCTGTTCAGCTCCACTGGCCTTCTTTTTAGAGCCTGATTCTCTGATATCAAATTTGTATTCTGTGAACCTAGAGACAAAAATCTGTACACTTAAATGTAAACAAAGTATTTAAGCTGTCTACTTAAAATTTTTAATTTATCCAACATGTCAGAAGATTCAGTAGCTAATTACAAAATCATATGTGAACATTTAACAGTCGTTATGTTACCTTTTGATGACAACTGTGCCCCCCTCGTCTGAGGGCAGTGCTGTCCAAGAGAAACGTGATGTGAGCCATATGCATAATTTTAAATTATCTAGTAAAATTTACATTTAAACTTGACATTTAAAATGTTAAAAGAAAGAGGCGAAAATTAAGTTTAAGAATATTGGTTTCAATATCATGACCAGAAACCCTAAGAGATTACCCAGATTATTTAGGTGTATATTACCCCTTACAGCACCACACTGAACCTAACTCCAACACCAGAGGACTTCAGTTTGAGTTACCCTGAAAGAAAGCAGAACAGAGAACTTACCTGGAAGTCGACTATTCCAGCAAAATAGAACAGGTTCCATGATCAGACAAATCAGTTCACTGACCTAGTTAACTGCATTAGACTTAAACTGAATTATAATTCCTATAAGTCAAAGTCAAACTGTTGGCATAGAAAAGCACAGAAGAAAAGAAGTCTTTCTGAAACTCAATTTCAGTCTTGTCTTTCTTTGTTTATAACCTTTTCTTTCTATATCCAAAAGAGAATAATAAACTATCTATCTATCTATCTATCTATCTATCTATCTATATATATATATATATATATATTTTTTTTTTAAGCATAAAAATAATGACTGCTGCTTTCATTAGAGAATGTTCAGGGGGTTTCTGTAGGTAGTGCAGTATGTATCTCTCAGACCCTATGCCGGATCTCTCATGTCTGGCTTTCAAGTATTTCATCTCCTCTTCTGGCCTCTCATTTCTTCTACTTGTAATTTTGTCCAGAAGTGATGGTACCCTTGGCCAACAGAGTCATTTCTAAAAAATAATAGAATTAACGTAAAGGTAAAGTGCGCAAGTAGAAACAATCCCTTATCCACCGCCCCTGCCCTTCCCCTTCACACAGACAGAATTCAGCACTACTGTAGCCCTGACTCAACCTCTGGGGAAAAGAATGGGCTAAAATGAGCCAACTCTCAGCTATTACTGCTGGCTTACTGAGAAGTATCTGCTGTAGATCATTCAAACTTCACTGTGAAGTCTTTACTCAGAAAAGACCTGTATCATTCGTTTCAGAGAATAGAGGGGGGGGGGAGAAAGAGACGTGTTACTGGGTGGTCAAAGTGGGGAGGACTTCAAGATTTTTGCTGAGAGTCTTCAGACTGTAGAGACCCTACGAATGATCAACAATCCTACAAAGCCCCACTGGACAGATACTGCCGTCTTCACACTTCGAAACAGCTGAATCTTCAAGGCTAACCATTCTTTATGAGTATAGGCAAATAGTGTCCTTTGTTTTATTTTTCAGGTATTCAGACTCGGGTCCTTGATGTCACAAAGAAGAAACAAATTGATCAGTTCGCCAATGACATTGAGAGACTTGATGTTCTCTTTAATGTTGCTGGGTAATTCATAACTTTTTAATTTCACTCTCCTTACAGAAAGATTTCTGCAACTTTCACTAAAAGAATTTTGATAATGTGGCAAAATTATTCACTGTGAACCATAATATATTCCTTGGGGAATATGGCTAGATTTTGGACAGAATTTTTATTACAAGTAAGACAGCCATAGACATTGACATGGGCTTGGGGCCTAAAGGCAGTTAAGGTCACGCAAGGCAACCAGTACTAACGCTGTTGCTCTCCTCAGGGCTGGTAACAGGCTCATGCCAATGGACTTGTTGCTGATGCTCTACCAGGACTTATAAAATAAGAAGAAAAACTGTTTTCCAGTAGAGTGCCTTTAAAAGGAAGTATATATACACCAGAAGCCAAGTACTCAGTTTATTGAAATGAAGATGTTGCCAATTTTTTGGCATATTCTAGTAAGTTTTTTATACCTCCCAAGCTCAGTGTTTCTTACTGGGACAATCAATCCCAGCAAAAGAAGGTTCGTGTTGTACCTTTATACACGGCACAAAGAGAATGGCTTAATTAAACTTATTCGGGTGGTACCAAGCTTGCTGAACCATGCATGAATGATGAAAAGCTGGACCTGGGGCAGCTACATGTAGATACAGCGAGTGCTGGTACACACTGTCCCTTCTCAGGCATGACAGTAGATGCGAGGAACCAGGAACTCAGTAGATACCTCCGATATCCCACTCTTCTTGTGTAGTGTTACATTTGTACTGCTGCATTGGTAGAAAAATTCTAGAGCCTTCTAATATATTTCTGTGGTTCTTCCCAATCATGATTCAGAGTAAAAAAAAAAAAAAAGTCTTAGTTTATCTATAGTTTATCATATGTTACAATGTTTGGAAATTAAAGTAACGATTGTGATGATCTAGTTTATAAATAACCTGCTCATTCCTCATATGAGAATATACCCAGAGCCATGAAAAAAACAACCAGCAAAATTAGTTTTTGAGCATCTGTTAAATTTTCAGCAATGTAAGGGAAACAGAAATAGAGGATGTGGTTCTTGCTGTCACTCAGTTGAACTAGAAATACAGTGGTACATAGAGATCACAACTGACAATATTTTATAATTAATTACATAATTTTGGTCTAGGGGACAGTGAAATCAGTTAGGACTCTAGTGTTTAGAAAGCTTCCTTGAGGAAGTGTGACTTCAAAAAGAGTGAAGTTTATTTTAAATGTTCTGTCTTGTTCTACGTTGTTTACTCAGTATGTTAGAACTGTACAGTAGGGGTGTTACTTTGCTACCCTGAGATGTTGAGACACTGGTTTTCCTTTCAGTTTTGATTTCCCTTGAGAATGTTAAATCTGTGCCACCTGAGGGCACTCTTGATCTTGAAATAGGAGTTAGGCCAAGCGCCCTGTTCTCGTTTGTTTTTAATGGCAGTGATGTTTCCTGCGCGGTAGGTATAGAGTTTCTTAGGTTTGGTGGCTTCTAAATTACCAAAATTATGTAATTATAAAATATTGTCAGTTGTGATCCCTATGCACCACTGTATTTCTAGTTCAACTGAATGACAGCAAGAACCACATCCTCTATTTCTGTATCCTGCCTTCTTTTAAAAGAAGGATTTTGTCTTCAAATAAATTTTTTTAGCTTATGTTGTTGGGATGCTTCCTCACCTAATGTACTAAGTGATACTGTGTTTGAATTGTTAATCTTGCTAAGGGAAAGGACAATGGTCTAAGCCAATAAATGACAAGAAAAAGGATAAGGAAATTGAATAGAAATTTTTTTCAACGATCATCTTTTTCCCCGTGGTTTAATCACACTTCCAGTTTCGTCCATCATGGAACCATCCTGGACTGTGGGGAGAAAGACTGGGACTTCTCAATGAATCTCAACCTCCGCAGCATGTACCTGATGATCAAGGCCTTTCTTCCTAAAGTAAGGTGACCACCCCCGCTAGGATAAGTACCACTGGATAAGTAGGTCTCCATACTGGACATCCAGAGAGGATCCCTACTCTGAAGAGTGATAATAGCTAACATAATGACTAACCTGTAGTGAACATTTATATCAAAGCATTTCATAGAAATTAACTCACTTAACTTTCCACTTCATTCATTCAAGGAATATTAAGCACCAGGGGCCAGGCTGCTTTCCAGGTGCAGAAGGTACATCAGAGAACTAAACAAAGTCCTTTCTATAAGGATGGTACTATTTTGAGGGGCGAGATACGATAATGTGTAATGAAGTAAACTCTAACGTGTGTGGTGTTATAAGTACAGTGAACTTAAAAGAAGCTAGGTTAGGGAATTCCCTGGCAGTCCAGTGGTTAGGACTTAGCACTTTCACTGCGGTGGCCCAGGTTCAATCCCCTGGTTGGGAAACTAAGATCTCACAAGCTGCGCAGCATGGCCAAAAAAAAAAAAAAAGAGAAGCTAGGCTATCAGTGAGGTCTAGTGGGAGGGCCTCATTAATAAGGTGAAATTTTCATAGAGGTCCCGATGAAGTGAGCAAGCTGACCGTTCAGGTATCTGGGAAGAGGGTTCCAGGGATTGGAACAGCAAGGGGGCATGTGGGACCAAAGCAGTCCGATGAGGTAGGTACTATCACAGCCACTGTGCAGAAGGATGAAACTGGGAGGTTAGATAACTCGCCCAAGCTCATATAACTAGCAAGTGGTTAGAGCCAGGATCTGAACCCTTGAAGTTGGGCCCCTTCTTGAATGTCAGCCTCTAGGCGCCCCCATCTGAAGGGGAATGTACCCCATTGCTTTTCTGTACCCCGAGTATTCTCCTTGCACTCCTGCTTTTAGCTGAGCCACAGAGGTACCAGAGAGGTGAGAGACAGCCTGTGCTAAGGAGACAGTATTCCTCCTGAGTCTGCTACCCTTGAATTTGCCAGCCTTCACACAACTCCTGACTGTTTTTCATTTTATTTTACAAACAAGCATTAAGTGCCTTTTGATGGAAAGCACCACACTAGGTTCTCTGGGGGAGGGGGGGGTATAAATATGGAAAACCATTGACTTCAAATGAGCTTATAAGCCAGTTGTAGCAGACAAAACAGGCTCAGACAATGAACGAGGTTGAATTTGTACAGAACCAGCTGAGTTCAAGGCTGTAAGTTGAACCCTAGTGAAATGCAGAAGAGCCATGCTTCTCTTCCATTCCAGCTGGATTAGATGACTGACATACTGAATGCTGCCCAATCCAGGGCAGGGGAAGAGTTTTTTGATGGCAAGCCAGGGCAGATACTTTGCTCTGGACATTCAGCCTAATGTCAAGAAGGATACAGATGAATGCTAAAAGGAAAATTAGAGAAATTGACTTAGTAACTAAAAAAAACTAATTTTTTTTTAATCTGCTTGTTTAGCCCCTAGAAGGAATCTTTGGGTTGGCTCATGGAATGTTGAACTAGGAAATTTTTAAAAAATATAAATTGCCTTTTTTTTGCTTATTTGGAGTTCATGAGAATCTGTTATTTGGAACTTAAATGTATTTTTTGAAGATTAATCCTTAGCACAGGATATGAGGAAAAGCAGAGGCTGTGGTAAAAGAGGAAAGCTCAGGTCAAGTGAATAAGACTTACACATATATGAGACTCATTTGCAGTACTGAATGCTTGACAAATATCAGGGAAGGACATAGGTGTGAGATACAGTGGAGCTGAAATTTAAACTTGTTAAGTGTTAACTTTTAAAATACCAAACATTAACTTGCAAATTAGTGAGTTTGTCTATGATTTAAAGCATCTTAACAATAATCCATATGAGCCAATGAAACTCATCTGTAAGAAATCCTAAGAGTTATTAATGACTGGGATGGGGAGTCAGAATGAGTCGGTGCCACTTGTTAAAGTGACCCTAACCGACTTCACCTGGGATTCTGGAATGTGGCATTGGAAGACCTTAGGAACAGCCTGAGCTCTGCCCCTAAGTTCGCCACAGGACCTGGGAGATGGCACCTGTGCTCTCTCGGCGTCTATTTCTTCTATTTAAAATGAAGGTGATAGATTACACAGTCCTTTCCAGCCCTAATTATGTTCATTAACCATGATGCACATATACCAGATAGAACTTTCCAGGGGAAGCCAGGATTTAGAGTCTAGGCAGATTTGAAAAGTCAGATGGTCAAAACATAGGAACACTTGTAGGAAAATTTTGTTCATGGATAAGCACACAGAAAACCATTCCAAGACTGGAAGAGCAGTCAGAAGGCAGAGAACAAATTAAAGATACTGTGAAGAGAGAGGTCAGTGTAGAATCCGAGGTCCACCAGAAGAGAGGATCCATTACAACGAGGATTCGGGGAGGTCTTGGATATTTGGGTGTTCTCCTTTGCTGTATCTTAGAAGAGTCTCTCGCACATAGAGCTGCTTAGCAAACATTTGCTGGATGAAGAAATGAATCTAGGTCGTCAGTCCAGGTGGAGGTCAAGCATGGAATCACTGAAGACCCAAGAAGCCATGGTCTGCCAGGTTTAGAAGCTGGGCTCTGGTCAGTGGGGGCAGAAGAGCTGCGTCACAGTAGGACTAATTAGATGCAGCTAGAGGGAATCTTCAGAGCTCTTTGTAGCATCCGCTTGAGCTTCTGGGAGATCAATCCTAGACAGCATTACTACATCCAGGCACTCACTTTATTGTTGTACCTGCCAGAGAGGGCTGTTGCATGCAGAGCCAAGAAGAGCATTCACACCATGACAGCAGGTGCTGAGCTGGTGTTGAGAAGGCAGCACAGAAGGACCCAAGGACTGGGCTCTAGAATCAGTGGCTAGACCTGGGCTGAATGGACAGTCCAAGTGTTAGTGGGCAGCAGTAGCATCTCCCAGGTGACTGTTTTCTAAAGTTCTTCCTGAGGATTTTATTGCATTTCAGAAGATCAGAGACTGAACTTATTTAATAGCCCATCTTTATATATTAAATTGGGCTACATGTATTCCATATGTATTAAAAATGGATTGTATATATTATCAATCATACCTCAGTGAAACTGGGAAAATAAAGTAATGTAAATGGGTTATGTTATTTGCTAAACTGGATAAGAAAGAATAATTTTAAGGCTTCGTTTTCAACACTGTTATATTTTACTAATTTTCCTGGTCTTTTTTTTATGAGGACCCCATTTCATTATGATCCTCTTTATTATACAGACAAACAAGTTGGGTTCAATATTTTCTTCCCCTGCCATCTTCTGGATTTCACTGGGTCACCTCAGCCTCTCCTTTTATCCTTTTAATCCATTCAACATAATACCTTAGGGTTGTTTTAGACCTTCTGCTCTTAGGTACCGATCAGTAGCTAAGTATCAAAACAGAAAGTAAGAATACTATAAGGAAAAAGAGGATCTTGGCAAACTCATCCCTGGATCATCCAACTATTCACCTTCTCCATTCCTACACCTCCTTGAAAGCTGCTGGATAAACTCACCCCAGCAGAAGTGACTTTTTTCTTTGACCCTTTACACTGCCTACTGAGACTCCTCCCTCTTAGAAGCTATTTACTTGATTTTCGTGACACAGCATATCCTGGTTCTCCTTCCTCTGTTCTGCACCTCCCCCAGCACTTATTTTAACGCTTCACCACCTCCTCCTTGTTCTTTATGGTCATCCCTGCAGCCTCTGATTTCAGTAAGTTAGTGCCCACGAGGCAGGAATTCTCTCCAACTCTGGCTTCTTCCCCCCCAAACATTGGTGGGTGGATACCCATGCCCATGCCCTCGCATATACCTACATCATCTTGAAAACATACATACATCTTTTAATTAAATATAAGTTCATCTGAAAACAGTTTTTAATTCATAGCAGCTTTTTTCAGTGATATATTTGTTTAGGTCTGGGGCAGAGCTCAGCAATCTGCACTTTAACCTAGCACCTCAAGAGATTTTTTTTTTTTTTTTTTTTGCGGTACGCGGGCCTCTCACTGTCGCGGCCTCTCCCGCTGCGGAGCACAGGCTCCGGACGCGCAGGCTCAGCGGCCATGGCTCACGGGCCCAGCCGCTCCGCAGCATGTGGAATCTTCCCGGACCGGGGCGCGAACCCGCGTCCCCTGCGTCGGCAGGCGGACTCTCAACCACTGCGCCACCAGGGAAGCCCCAAGAGATTTTGATTCACTGAAACATATTGACTGGCTGCTGTGTACCCTGTCTAGGAGGACAGAACAGCCACAGACCCTCCTCTTAAGACTTTCACACTTTCTGTGTGGGATTCTGAAGGACGTATTCTTAGGAAACACTGCCCTAGACGGGGAGCAGCCCTCGCTGCATGTAACCATGTACCAAGTCCTGCTCATGTACCTCGGCTGTCTCCACCTCTGCTACGTTTCTGCTCTCTACTTTCGTTACTCCTTTCCTAAATCCCTGCATCAGCTTCCAGTGCTCTCCTCTACAAGATGCCAGAGTAATCTTTGTAATCTTCAAATCTGAACATGCCACTCCCCCTCTGCATTAAACCCCTCATTGTCTCCACCGCATTGCCTTCAGGGTAAAGCCAAAATCGGTAAATTCAGCCCCACTGGCCTCTGCAGCTTTATTCCTCCCACATTCTGTCTTACAACCAGACCCGTCCCTTCTTCCCACTTCCTTGGGAAGAAAATGCCCTTCTCTTTTATTTTTCTGATTAACGCTCTAGCTTTCAAAAAAATCAGACCTCCTCTGAGTGCCCTGCAGCCTGGTCCCTTCTTTCCACGTCCGCCCCCTCCCCAGTGACAGTCTTTCCTCTTGCTGGAGGCAGGTTATATCAGCCACTTCAATCAGACTGGCAGCTCTATAGGCAGGCAGGGACTGAGTCATTTCTCTTTGAATCTCCTCGACCTACCACTGTACCTGACCACAGTAGGTATTCAACTATATGTTGAATATGTGATGAATGGAGAAAGAGTTTTCCATCAGGAACATACAGTAACATTAACATTCATTAGTCTTTCATTTAGCTCAGAGTTCCTTCTTGGTCTTGCTGATGCTTTTGTGCCACAGGAAGGCAGTAAACCCCTGGGAAATGTTCCTGCCAATGTGTACACAAGCCATCAATTCCCAGCAATGATTGGGTGAGACCATTAAGACTGCTTAACAGGGAGTTCCCTGGTGGTCCAGTGGTTGGGACTCCGTGATTTTACTGCCAAGGGCCCGGGTTCAGTCCCTGGTCAAGGAACTAAGATCTCACAAGCTGCGTAGCATGGCCAAAAAAAGAAAAGAAAATCCGTTAAAAAAAAAAAAAAAAAAAAAAATGCTTAACATGCTTAACAGTGCTTAATGTTAGTAGCTAATAAGATGGTCCTGCAAACCATAAGTAAATGCACATCTTTTAAAGAGGTAGTATTCTTAGCCTGCAGAATAGCATCTTTTTTTTGTCTTTGTTTTGTTTTGGCAGATGCTTGCTCAGAAATCTGGCAACATTATCAACATGTCCTCTGTGGCATCGAGCATCAAAGGTAGGTATGTCTTCCTCTGGGCCTTAACATGCAACAGTGCTTAATGTTAGTAGCTAATAAGATGGTCCTGCAAACCATAAGTAAATGCACATCTTTTAAAGAGGTAGTATTCTTAGCCTGCAGAATAGCATCTTTTTTTTGTCTTTGTTTTGTTTTGGCAGATGCTTGCTCAGAAATCTGGCAACATTATCAACATGTCCTCTGTGGCATCGAGCATCAAAGGTAGGTATGTCTTCCTCTGGGCATCATGACACACCTAGTCACACACCTTCAAGAGCTAAGGGTTTAGGGAACAAGCATAGCAGAGATCATAAAACCCACACATAACTTCAAAACTGCTTTTTTAAAAAATTGCTCTAAAGTTTCTTAAGTACCAGTCCTTTTGCCTTAGATGTGAAACAGTCATAAAGTTAAATATAAGTTGGTTTGCTTTGCTCTACCTTTTATTCCTTCTAATGGATATGGAAATGAAGATCAAACGGGGAAAATGAAACATTTATACATTTAATTAATCAAAAAAGATGTATTAGACACCCACTAGATGTCCCTGACCCCAAAGAATTCACAGTCTAAAAGGGGGGAGAGTCAGGCAAATGCACATCTTCTCCAGTGTGATAGGATCATAACAGAGCGCTGTACAAAGTGCTGTTACAATAGCAGGGACGTAACTCTGCCTGTGGATTGGGGGAGTGCTTCACAAAGACACTGGATCCAGCCCTAGATGAGAAGTCAAGCTGAAGGGCCAGATTGCAGTGCAAAAGTGGAGATGATGGACAATGTCACAGTCTGGCACAGATGGATTTCGAGTTGAAAATAAAGTAGTTACTGCTGAGATAACATTCCTTCTCTTAGCAAGGATGTACACAGTAAGCCTGCACAGGAGAGGAATGCAAAGAAATGCCTAAGCCTCTGGGTTTGTTTGGGTTGTGTTTTGTTTTGCTTTGCTTTACCCTAAATTTCTTTGTTCTACCAACTGATAATGAAAAACTAAAGCCACTGCTGTCACTTAGGTGCAGCATCTCAACACCAAAGTCTCAACTGAACTGTGCCAATAATGATATTATTTTCCCAGATTCAGAAACTAGCTCTATTAAAGGAGAAAATCTGATATCGATTTTTAGAAAGGGTTGCAGGGACTTCCCTGTGGTCAATGGTTAAGACTTCGCCTTGAGTTCCATCCCTGGTCAGGGAGCTCAGATCCCACATACCTCGAGGCCAAACAACCAAAACACAAAACAGAAGCAATATTGTAACAAATTCAATGAAGACTTTTTAAAATGGTCCACATCAAAAAAATAAAATCTTAAAAATGGTGGAGTGTGAGGAAGCATGACAATGGTCTCCTGCTTCCTAAAGTTGACTGTGTTTTTTTATTCCTTTAACGGTTGAACTTCCCTTCATTCTCAGGAGTTGTGAACAGGTGTGTGTACAGCACAACCAAGGCGGCTGTGATTGGTCTCACAAAGTCTGTTGCTGCAGACTTCATCCAACAGGGTATCCGGTGTAACTGTGTGTGTCCAGGTGAGTTGGGCACTGTGGGACTATGAACTTGTCCTTTCTGACCTCCCGGCTGCCACTGTGAAAAGTATCTATGTAAGCTTGTTTACCACATGTTGTATTGTCATTGGGAAAAGCTCCAAAGAAAAAAGAGTCCAGGCTTATTAAGATAACAGTCCAATGGTAAGTTGGGAAAGAGATCCTAAGTAAGTCATTAGGAATAATCCACAGATGTGTTAAAAGACAAAATTGAACCAAGTAATTTGAAGATCTAATTGGCTTTATTCAACGATTCATGAATCAAGTGGCATCTCATCTAGCAACTAGAAGGATGCTCCAGGGAGCCATATACAAAAGTGGAAGGTTTTCATAGAAAGAAGGGTGGGGCAAGGAGGTCATTGGCAAAAGAAAAGAAAAGGTTATTCTGGGCTGGGACTGCTTTTTTAAGGGGGAGGGGATGGCACAGGTTTTATACTACAGGTTGCCTCTTTTTCCTCTAGGGGGATAGAGAGGGTCCACAGGGGCCCAATTACCTCATCGGTGCTAACCAGAAAATTCCAGACTGGTTGATTAAGATTACATTTCTGTTGAAAGGTTGAAACTGCAATTAGGTTAGGCATTAAATGTAGGTTTTGTATCATGGGCTTTAGCACAAGTGATGCCTTTTTGATTTAACAGATGCAAAAGGTTTAAATGCTGCTTGTGTGGATGGGGACAATTCCAAACCCTGTGGTTGAGAGACATAACTGGCCAGGGCTTGGTGTTTTGGAAGCAAGCCCCGGATGGCCTCGTCAGGGGAAAGTTGAAACGTAGACCATGCTCACAGGACAGCAGGAAGAAAGAGGAGCCTCCCAGATGCAGGGAGCCACTGAGTCATGTCCATCACCTGGGGTGGCCCATAAACAAAAAGGAGGGATTCATACCTTCCTTTATGCTGTAAAGAGGGGGTCAGCAAACTATGGCCTGCAGGCCAGGTCCCGCCTACCACCCGTTTTGTAAACACAGTTTTATCGGAGTACATCCATACCCAGTTTGCTTTTATATTGGTTAAGTTTGCTTTCATGCTGCAGTCAGAGTTGAGTAGTTATAACAGACCAAATGGTTCTCAAAGCTAAAAATATTTCCTGTCTGGCTTTTGACCAAAAAGTATGCTGGCCCCTCATATAAAGGAAAGGAGAAAAGCAGAACTTACTATGAGTAGAAAGGACATTTATGTTTACACTATACTGTAGTTGATTAAGTGTGCAATAGCATTGTGTCTAAAAAAAACAATGTACATACCTTAATTCAAAAACATTTTATTGCTAAAAAACACTCACCATCATCTGAGCCTTCAGTGAGTCATAATCCTTTTGCACTAGTACCATCAAAGATCACTGATCACAGATCCCCATAACAAATATAATAATAATGAAACAGTTTGAAATATTGCAAGAATTACCAAATGTGACACAGAGACATGACGTGAGCAAAGAAATACTGTTGGAAAAGTGGTGCCTATAGACTTGCTTGAAGAAGCATTGCACAACCCTGAAATCTGTAAAAAAATGTATCTGTGAAGCTCGACAAGCCAAAGAGAGCAAAATGAGGTCTGCCTAAGAAGAATTATCAGCTTCCTCTCTGAAAAGAAATTCGATACTCCATGTCCAGAATCAAGGTTTCTCTTAGTAGTTCACAACTGGTATTGTGGGTTTGGGAAGCAATTCAGTTACCTGTGGGACCTTTCAAAACCTGAGGGGCATGTCAGCATTTGGAGAAGGAGTTGATGGGGAGCACTGTGTGTAGTTTGGAAAGTGCCGCTGAAAATTCTGATGTAATTCATCATGGTCTCCCCTCAGGTTGAAACCCACTGACTTAGGAAAGGGGGAGACTCTACTAAAAAACCTTCAAGGGACAGAATTTCCATGATTGAGGTGTTCTGTTTAATTTTTCTTGGACTAGAACGGTAAACTTAGGTAACACCAAGAAAGAGGAGGTTACAGGAGAGAGAGTTTCGCTGGGTTTTAACATACACGTTGGTGATACTTGAGTCTAGCTATTCTTGGTGCCATTTTCCCAGTGGAATAAATGGCAAAATGATTTGGAAAATGTGGTTGTTTTGAAGCTGGACTTTTCAGAAGATTGGAAAATATATTCTCCCACTGTCTGGAACAAGGAACTAGCTGTGACTCACTGAGCCAGTCACAAAGAAAATGTGACAAGGAATGAGTGTGTCTGGGTTGGTGCTGATGATATAGTCACAACACTTCAACACCAGACTGGTGTGGACAGTGGCATGTGTGTCGGTCTGTGCCAGGGACACAGCAGAGTCAGGTGACAGTGGAATGAAGTGCGAGGCATAGGCTGGCTACAGAGTTTTCATGTAATAGTCATTAATACCGGCCATATGTAAGAGTTGGTGAGCATTTGCCTCAGCGGGAGGAAGCTGTTAAATATTTAAGGATTTTGAGGAGGGCGTTAAGTGAATGCTTAAGGTGCCTTGAACACACTGTTGGTAGAATTGTGGACTTTAAGGAAGCTATTGATGAGGCAAGTGAGGAAAATATCACCAGAAATTGGATACAAAGAGATTTTCGCTTTGTGGTTTAAGAAATTTCATCAACACTATTGCCTGCGGTAACTGTGGAGGGTAGAAAATGTTCCTGATGAACCAGGTGATGTAGCCAAGGCAGCTCCCACCCAGCCTATTGAAAGTGTTGCCTGCTTACAGTGAAATGCGAGAGCACAGAGACAAGCTAAGGAAAGGGCTGTTAAACAAAAAGGAGCCAGGATTTGCAGATTTCGAAGATTCCCAGTCTCTCCAGAGGAATGGCAAATGATAATAAAATTAAGAAATGGTTTCCAAGGCGGGGAGGATAATAAATTGGGAGACTGGGACTGACATATACACACTACTATATATAAAATAGATAACTAATAAGGACCTACTGTATAGCACAGGGAACTCTACCCAATACTCTGTAATGGCCTATATGGGAAAAGAATCCAAAAAAGAGTGGGTATTTGTATATGTATAAAGACTGACTTTGCTGTACACCTGAAACTAACACAACATTGTAAATCAACTATACCCCGATAAAAAAATATTTTTGAAAAAAGAAAGAAATGATTTCCAAGCAAACATCAAATCTATGGCACACCCAGGAGCATTGTCTAAGGATGGAGCTGAGAGTATGACTGTGAAATCACTTGCTATGACATTAGAAAGATCATGTGGTCTCCGGGAGTACGGTCAGCAGAAGAAAGCCCTCTGAAGAGAATTTGCAGATCACAGAAGTTAACAGAAATGTATGGAAACTTGCTCTGTAAAGAATGTGAACTAAGTGGGATTTAAAAATTTTTAGTCATTATTATTTTCCTTGTTTTTAAGTAAAATAAAATTATATTTTTTCGATGAGAAATACGAAACAATGGGTAAAACAGGAATTTAAAACCAATGAAAATAGGCAAGATAATGAGGAAAATTAAGAGCCACCTAAGTTATCGAGGACTGTGATGGGCATGGAGTTGTCCCTGAGAATCCCCCCAGAGTGAACCTGACAGCAGAGAATGTTTTTGAGATCGTTAGGTAGTCTGGGTGCTTATACTGATATAGTGCTTGTATGATTTTATCTATAATACATCTCAGGGTTGTTGCAAGGATTAACTGAGATAATACCTATAACAGTGCTTAAAATCCATAAAGTGTCATTATCAATGTGATGTGACTAAAGTATGTCCTGGGAATGCTGGGTGTCATTTTTTGCCTAACATAATTCACAAAGAAGTTTAGTTTGTGTTTTTGAAAATCACAGAAATTTATTAAAGAATTTATAAGCCTATCAAATAGAAAGCAGGCAGGTAGCGGTGAAATTGTCACTCCAAGTCATGGAGAAGGCTTTCACTGATCGTTGTGTCATATGGAAAGGAAGTTTAAAATTTAATCATCAATTTCTTTTTCAGTCTAAGTAAGTAACCAAGCTGAATGCCCTCCTTTGATTTAGGAACGGTTGATACCCCATCTCTGCAGGAAAGAATACAAGCCAGACCAAATCCTGAAGAGGTATATCTTCTATTTTAAATGGGTTTAAATCCTCTGGTTAAAAAAAAAAAAAAAAAAAAAAAAAAAAAAATGCCCCTTCCTTACTTAGAGTAGACAAACCCATAGAGACAGAAAGTAGAAGGGTGGTTGCCAGGGGCTGGGGGAGAGGGAGTGGGGAGTTATTGTTTAATGGGTATAGAGTTTCAGTTTTTCGAGATGAAAAGAATTGTGGAGATTTGTTGCACAATAATATGAATGGACTTAACACTACTGAACTGTACACTTCAAATTGGTTAAGATGGTAAATTTTATATTATGTGCATTTTACCACATTTTCAAAAAATATGAAAATGCCCTCTTGTTTAATATTATCTTTCTGATCTGTCACGGTCTCTGTAGGTTTTAGTATAAAACAAGTAGTTTGAGTAGATTGGGAGTCACCACAGTCCTGTTTGGTCCACAATTAATGATATTAATGATATTCTCCTGTATCTTGTATCATGTATAATTAATCAAGGCAACAAGCCAGTGGTACCTTTGTAGATTCCTCTTGCCTTTGACCTTCTGAAGGTGTTGCAGGTGAGTTACTTCAGCTCACATCACTGATGTCCGGTATGGTTTCTGGTTCCAGGCACTGAGCGATTTCCTAAAGAGACAGAAAACAGGAAGATTTGCAACTGCAGAGGAAATAGCCCTGCTCTGCGTGTACCTGGCCTCTGATGAAGTAAGCACTGTTCTTCCCAGGAGGTTCATTATCCTCAATCACATTTGGCCACAGTTTGCTCATCAAAATAGTATGATTTAGGGAGTGACGGCGTGTAGGTGCTAAGATGCTGCTTTTACAAGATAGGAATAAGTTCTGATTTAATTTGCTTATAGAAAAAGGCCACTTTGATCTGAGCCATCAACTCTTCCTCATTCAACTTTACATGTCACTGAATCTGATAGCAAATGAAGCGGTGGATTGAAAAAAATTAAATTGCTTAATTTTATAATTACTTCCAAAAATTACAATTTGGGAAACCATTTGTAAATTTGATTTGTAAATCAAACCAGTGAACCTCCAAAATTATGAGAGCTTCGGGTGAAATGGGGAAAGGGTTACAGAATTGGCATCTGGTGTTTTCAGTTTTACTGGTGACTTGTTTAGAACAATGCCAGTACCTCTTTTTTTTTCCCTATGAATTTTTACGTATTTATCATCACGTATGGAAATTCCTAATTCTGTCTCTTTCCACTTGGCACCTATTTAGTAATCAGTTTTTTCCTTAATGGCTACTGTATATTTTTTAATGGCAAACAGCTGTGAAAGCAGAAACTCTTTCATAAGAAATATTTCTTATAAGGTATAAAGCACAAGGACATCCCCTCTGTTTTGTGGGGGGTTTTTTTGCGGTACGCGGGCCTCTCACTGTTGTGGCCTCTCCCGTTGCGGAGCACAGGCTCCGGACTCGCAGGCCCAGCGGCCATGGCTCACGGGCCCAGCCGCTCCACGGCATGTGGGATCCTCCCGGACCGGGGCACGAACCTGTGTCCCCTGCATGGGCAGGCGGACTCTCAACCACTGTGCCACCAGGGAAGCTCCCCCTCTGCTTTATGTCTGTGAATAGTACACGACCAGGGAACTAACTGGAAGAGAGAAGAGAGAAGGAAAGGGGAGTAGGTGGGAGTGAGGAGGTGTGTTACTGATCAGTTAGCCCCTCTTCAATGTAACTTGGTGCACACCAGGTGATGGTGAATGTGACAGATAAAGAGGTTGAAGTGTTTTACTGACAGAGCAGTTACCACTTCTCAGAACTATTAACAACAGTTGTTCATAGCTGAGGAAATGACTAGGCAGATTATGAATGACTGAGTACATTAACCTTTCTGATTTCTTTGAATCTGTATCTTCACAAGAGTTCATTTGATTTGTGGGTACTGCTGATAAGCTAAATTGCCCTGGTTTAGCCCTGGTTTGGTTTAGGTTACCAAATATTTGGGAATGTTCTGGCTTGAAATGTGCAACAAAAGGACCTTTGTCCTTTTAGAAAGATCCAGAAGAGTCCATATGTAAAACAGAAAGCTTGCCTTTTAAAAAAAACTTGGAGAAATTGGGGTTGTTTCTTGGTAGAGTGTCTAATAACCCCCTAGTTTATCTACTTTATATGATCAGTCTTCATATATTGAATTTTATTTTTTTTAATTTTTATTGGAGTATAGTTGATTTACAATGTTGTGTTAGTTTCAGGTGTACAGCAAAGTGAATCAGTTATACATATACATATATCCACTCTTTTCTAGATTCTTTTCCCATATAGGCCATTACAGAGTATTGAGTAGAGTTCCCTGTGCTATACAATATATATTGAACTTTAAAACACTCTTGTACTTCTGTTATGATGTCTTTCCTTCCAGCCTCTTTCATTGTGTCAGGCTTTAGGTGAATTTAAAACTAGGAACACAAATTTGAGTCTATTATCCATGTTTAAGTTAAAACATTTTTAGGGCTTCCCTGGTGGTGCAGTGGTTGGGAGTCCGCCTGCCGATGCAGGGGACACGGGTTCGTGCCCCGGTCCGGGAAGATCCCACAGGCCGCAGAGCGGCTGGGCCCGTGAGCCTTGACCGCTGAGCCTGCGCGTCCGGAGCCTGTGCCCCGCAACGGGAGAGGCCACAACACTGAGAGGCCCGTGTACCGCAAAAAAAAAACAAAAAACATTTTTAAACCTCTACCACAAGAATCACTTCAGCTTTAATTCTTTGGAAAATGAAAAATTCTATGGGGAAAAAAATCAGTAATTTTTAAACTCCTTTAGTTTTGTACAGATTTGGATGTCTGAAACTAGTATAGAATTTTTTTTTTGGTTAATAGATTATAATTATTACTCATATAAATTTTAAAAAGACATTTAGTGTGCTTCAGTACCTGGAATTACCCATGTATATTGATTAACTAAATATACATCTTTTAAAAAAAATTCTGTTTGGTAATGACATTACTACTTTGTTACTGACACACTTGATTATGTTCAAAGGTTTATTAGTGGCATAAAACTCAGCTAGTTAGAATACTTCTGAGATTCAAAATGAAAATGTACTATTTTAGCCTATACTTTATCCTAATTCAGGTAATGGCTCTATATCACAAAATTTCTTAATTTTCTGATTCTGAGTCCAGACACTCTTAGAATGATGTGACATGTGCTCAAACACCAGCCAGAGGCCAGTCAGATCCAGATCACAAGAACACTCAGCAGTTTTAAATCATCTGAAATTTAATTCAGATTTTCCTAATTTCTATTTGTTGAAAGTGTGGTTTCCTGGTACTCTGAGGATAAATTGTTTAGCTATCTCAGTCAGGAAAACTGAAGAAACACAACCTGGTTAATTGTTCTATCTCCTTGTGTTTATCACTGCAGTCTGCCTATGTAACGGGTAATCCTATTATCATTGATGGAGGCTGGAGCTTGTGATTTCAGGATCTCCTTGCTGGGAAGGCAGGCTGTTCCTGTCTACAGTGAACCTGCTTATGAAGAAAACTCACCCATCCTCTCTTTCCTATTAATGGCATATTAATGAAAATAAGACCTTTTTGATGATGTCATTGTTCACAAGAGTCTGATTCTTTAGATACATTCATCTCTTTGTAATCTCTTCTGAAATCATTGTAGATAGGTGAGATAATGAACTCACTGCAAAAAGAACATTTTAAGAATAAACCTCAATTTCTAAGTATATAAAATTAAAATGTCAATATGAAGAAAAAAGGAAGTTTTTTTTTTTAAGAAAAAAGCTATTCATTTCTATTTTACTTCTGTTTTTCAGTATTCAAATATTTTTGTACGATTCTGCATTGGTTCTGTATGTGGGTACTAATTTTAAAATTTTACATGGTCATAAATGAACAGCAAAGGTATAAAGGAGTTTGGCTTCAGTAACTTACACTTAAAGGAGTTTAGGTTCAGGACTATATATTGTTGATCTGTTATGTAAAAGAAAAATAATCATCAGCTGTTTATCCTTAATGGATGTCATCACTTATAAGTAAATACTTTTTTTTTAGTCTAACTAAAAAGTCTTTATTAAAATAAGCAGTATTTGACATGGACATAAGAAACATATAGTTAACTACCTTACAGTATTGTCAGTTTGAAGAATATTTTTTAGATTAAGTATAGATTTCCTCACCAAATTCTGAGATAACAGACAAGAGAACATGAAACTTAGAAATAGTCTCTGGATGAAGAAACAGAAATAAATCATGTGACAGGAAACAAATAAAATTAAAGAAAATAAAAGTTTCAATAAGAAATTTAAATTCATGGGAAATAATTCCATAACAGATTACTAGGGAGAAGTTTTTTCTCGTTCTTTTAGTTTCAGGGTTTTATGTTTGTGTTTTATTTGTTGTTACCGCAAAAGACCAAATGGTGTGATGCACATGTAGGTACTCAGTAAATGAGCAGTTAATCTTTCATCTCAGAACTGTAATATTAAAAAGGAAAATTTTGAAATGGACAATGAAAGTTTAAAATTTTATGTATGAGGAAGAACAAGCAGTTGATGAAAGTAAGTTAAAACCGACAGCAAAAAATAAAACATAATAAAATAAAATCTGACAGCAAAGGATATTTTGACTAACATCCCTGAAGAGTCCATTGATTTTAAGATTTGCTTTAGGGTTCTGGACCAGGTATTCCACTACTGGACCACATGTAGGTTGGTTGGTTACCTAGAACCTAAGTCATCCAATTTCTCTTCCATTTTAGTGTTTTGCTTTGGAAAATTAGGGAGTTGGGCCAAATGACTTGGGTTTCTTTTGATGTATCGTTATCAAAATGCTGTAACTTCTTACCAAGTGAAATAATGGAACACTGAAGCTTTTAAGCTTTTATGAAGAACCTCATGCTCTGAGCCATTATCCATGTATATGTAAGCTATGAAAAAGTGAATTGTAAATAAACACATGATGGGACTTCCCTGGTGGTCCAGTGGCTGAGACTCGGCGTTCCCAATGCAGTGGGCCCAGGTTTGATTCCTGGTCAGGGAGCTAGATCCTGCGTGCCGCAACTAAAGATCCCACGTGTCACAAGGAAGATGGAAGATCTCTCATGCAGCAACCAAGACCCGGCGCAGCCAAGTAAATAAACAAATACATGATGAATACTGCAAAATGGACTCTAAATATTTAACAAATGCTCCCTCAGAGTTAGTTCTCCCAGAGATAACTATAAACTATAAAACATTATACACAGTAAAAGCTAGCCAAAAAGTTCAGTGTTCTCCAAAGTCGTGTTGATCAAATCATGTGATGTATCAATGATCATACGACTGAAAGAAGTGGAAAAATATATTTGATTCCTGTTATAAGAGGAAGCTGGATGTCACTAGAAACTTCTGCGAGCTTTAGGAGAGGAAGAGTTCCGTTTAGGAAAATAATCATTTTAGATGCTCTGAAGAAGCTGAATAGACGGAACCTAGGTTCATCCGTTCTCTCCATAAGGGAGGACCTAAGAGAAAAGAATGAGTGGTTTCTGCCTGATGGAGACATTTACGTGACATTGTACCTCTTGCCTGCAAAACGGCGATTAAAATTGGCACTTGCTTAAAGGAGTGAAAAACAGGTAAGAAAATTTTTATGTCTGTAGGAAATGAAAATTACCCGGAAAGGGGCACACGCGCATATACACACACTTAGTTGAAAGGGGAGGAGGAGGGAAATACAGAGGAAAGGAAGACACGGAAATGGAAGGTAGAATTAAATGAATGCTGATGGAAAAAAAGTCAGAAACGCAGGAAGGGCAAGTGTTGAGCGATAAAAGGGAGAGCAAGTCTTTTATCCCACTTAATTGGTCACCTGAAGAGAGTTCTTCCCGCCCCACCTGAGAAGACACTTCTAAAAAGCACAACTAAAAGGGTGGAGTGAAAATCCAGAATGTAGAAGGGAACGATAAAGCCAGCAATTCGCTGCCCGGGCCGCACTCCTGGCTCCGCAAGAGGCCGTGCTGCGCGTCCTCGCCCAGGAGCTCGTCATCGCCTGCCGAGACGGCGCCAGGGTCGGCGCGCGCTGGGCAACCATCCCGGTAGCTTCCCGGGGAGACACGCTCGTCCGGTCCCCAGGGGCCGGCGAGGCCGCCCACCGCGCGGCGCCGCCCCGAGGTCCCGGGAAGTGGACCCGCGGTTCTCCGGGCCCCCAGTCAAGCCGCGCGCCCGCCCCCTGAGGCCCCAGACCCGCGGAGAGCGCGTGGGGTGGCCGCTACGGGGTCCCAACCCGCCAGGGCTCCCTGAGCGGTCCACACAGCCCGCGCCCTGCCGCCTTCCCGGAACCGCCCACGCCGCGGGGAAGGCGGGGCCGCACACACCCGGCGGCGCGCCCAGCGCCCCGCTATCTGCAATAATTGCAGCCTCCGCCGCTGCCTGGGGCGATGCGCCACCCGGAAACAGGCTCCGCCGGGCTCCACCGCAGGCCTTTGAGTCCCTTTTCGCATCCATGAGGCTGAGCCGGCTGCCTGAGCCGGAGAGCGTTCGGTGAGTAGCTCCCGGAGAGCACTGAGTGTAAATTAAACCGGCGGCCGTGGCGGCAGTCCTCTAGTGCCGGGCCAGAGGCTAGGAGCTAGCGCCCAGCGCCTTCTGGTTGTACGCAGAGTGGTGGGTGGGTGTGGGTGGGTGTGTGTCTCCTGTCGTTAGTTGTTACTGGAGTAGGTTTTTCTTGTTCGTTTTGTTTTAGTTCTCAAATCCACCGTACGTTGCTGCTACTGTGGCCTGGGTTAGCACCCCTCATGTGCAAAGACTCATCAGTTCCTCCTGATTGGGGAATATAAATAAGCCCCTGCTCAAAGCGCACTCTGAGTCTGTGGCTTTATTTTACTTACCAGGCATCAGCTTGTTATGTCAGCCTTGTTATCTCACCCTGGATTCTGGTGTGTTTTGTTGCCCAAAAGATCAATAGCAGCAAGACATCACTAACTTTAGCCTTCCATCAAGAGCTCCAGGACGGGCTTCCTTGGTGGCGCAGTGGTTGAGAATCTGCCTACCAATGCAGGGGACACGGTTTCGAGCCCTGGTCTGGGAAGATACCACATGCCACGGAGCAACTAGGCCCGTGAGCCACAGCTACTGAGCCTGTGCGTCTAGAGCCTGTGCTCCGCAACTAGAGAAGCCGCGACAGTGAGAGGCCCGCGCACCGTGATGAAGAGTGGCCCCCGCTCGCCGCAACTAGAGAAAGCTCTCGCACAGAAACGAAGACTCAACACAGCCAAAAAATTAATTAATTAAAAAAAAAAAAAGAAATCCAGGACACCAGTGGCTAGAGACAGAGCAGGTGCTTTACTTTGCCGGATCTACCTCTGTTGTCTCTGAAAGGCTAAAACCCCCTTTCCCCATTCGTCTATAATGGGCCCTCCACCTGATATTATTGCTGCTATACAGTATCTCATGAAATTCTGGTTTACTGTTTCTAAGTCAAGAGTGAAACATATCAATTCAGCAAATACCTGTGCATCTTCTGTGGGCCAAGCAGCCCTGGGGACAGGAGATACAAATAAGAATGGAATACAATTCCATTCTTAGGATTCCAGCTCCACGTTCCAGGAGCTCAAAATCCAATGGATCGGAATATACCTAACGATTAATTAGGTAGTGTGATTTACCCTATACTAATGATGTGAGCAAAATGACCGGTTCACATATTTTCTAGCATATTAAGGTCTTTAGAATTACAGTCCTATTGACTAGATTTTTGCCTTTTTAGGGTTTCCATAGAAGGCATGATAGAATAAGTAGGGGAAATCAGTGATGTAGGTCTGAATCCTGGGGCCCACACAGAAAGTTGCTGTGCTGGCTATGGAGGTTTGGCACTCACACTCATTCCTACCTGTGGCTAGTGTGCCTTCTTGTACAGGAGAAACAGGAAAGCTAAAAACATTTCCCAGACTCCCTTCCAGTTAGAGTTCTGGGTGTAAATTAGAGTTCTGGATGACTTGCCTGAGATTTCAAAGGCAGAGACAAGGCAGAAGACTCCCTGCTCCTCCCTGATGTTTTTGGCTGTTTTCTATTAGCACGGAAGGTGCACAAGGTGCCAGTGTCCAGGCTCTAGAACTGTGGGTGTTGGGAGGGACTTACAGCAACCAGACTCAGCATGCCATGTTGAATCACCAGCCCTTTGGCTGTCAAGAGGCAGCTGAGGGAGGCAGTGAACATACTCTGAGTTCCCTGTCCAGACAGCTTCCAGATCCCAGCTTCTCAGGGTCACAGGTACAGTATGTTCTTGAACTCCTTGGTTCCTGTAGGCCTCCTGATAGTGGCAAAAATAGTATATTCCCTGGTGGCTCATCTAGTAGTGTTCTAGAAGTCATTCCTAGAGGCCCAGCCAAGACCCTGCACTTGTAGCCCTTTCAACAATCTCTAGCCTTTCAACAATTCACTTAATTCTCTATAAAATCTCTTTCTGCTTAAAATATTTGGCATGGTGTCTGTTTTCTGCATTGACTCTGAGTAATATGTTTGCTGTATAGCCTCTAAAAGTCACCTAAAGCTAATCTCTTCAGTTTCTTTAGATGGGAAATGAAACCATGAGATTAGATCCAGGGCCTGGTAGTGAGTTGAATGCCTTCATCTGGGCTCTGCCCTCTCTAGTTGCTACAGACTCCTACATTTGAGTTGGTCCCTGAAGGTATTTGAGTTTGTTACCCATACACTAGATTATCTCTGAAGTCTCTTGCTCTACAAGTATGATGT